ACAAGGCTTTGGATCGGCGTCAGAAGTGCCATAAATAAAGGACGGGGTCGAAGGTCTTGTGTGCCGACTCCACAGCCCTGTTGACAACAACCTGCCTGAGGACAATGTAGTGGTAAATTTAGATTTCAAGAATGCGTTTAGTCTCCTAAAACGTAATGCGGTATTAACCAGGGCTGTGGAGTCAGAATCAGAAGCAGTTTTTTGGGTTACTGGAGATGGAGTTGGTAAAATGAAATTAAAGGAGTCGGAATTGAAGGTTTTATGTGCCAACTCCACAGCCCTGCTTATAAAGCTCTACAAAGGAAAACTTTGTTTCATTAAAAGCTTCCACAACAAGTCTTTTCTTCAATGGTTCCCACTGTATTTGCTGTTTCTAGAGTGCCATACCTTGATCTGGCATGAAAAATATATATACATTTATTGAGCAATTCACTAGCTATTATTTTAATTTTTACTACAAACCTTTGATTTAACCTACATGCATTCACTCTACACACAAAGTCAAAATGTGTAGATATATCAGAGGCAAACGCCTTCAATAATAGCATTTACTATATTATAGCTTTTACTTCAGAAACATTTGGCTCAATGTACTTGCTTGCCTCTACCTATTTATAAAATGAATCCCTATTTATTTTCATGGTCTGAATACCAGTAAGGTGCAGATTTAGAAGTAAATCCTTGATTTAAGAGACTAACAGGGAAAGCAGATGGCTGGTAATTGCAATTAGTGTGGATAGAGATGAGATTCTTTTGCTGTGATCTTTACAATAACAGACAATTCTGTAACCAATGAACTGTTAGTGGCATTTTCTGACAAATTTCAAATTTTAGCTACAATATCCATATAAACAGAATTAATGTTATACAATGGACCCTTGATTTTCACAATTTTTTTTTGTTAATACTCTTGGGTATCTGGAACGGATTAACTGGATTTACATTATTTCTTATGGGGAAAATTATTTTGGTTTTCGTGAATTTTGGTTTTCGGCAGACTCTCTGGAACAAATTAATCATGAAAACCAAGGGTCCACTGTATTAAGTAGAAAAATAAATTATCACAATTTTAAATTAAAACTTGCTCTCTAAACATTATATGGAGAAAACTGTTTCAAACTCAACTGACCAAGCCGATTTAGTGTCATATTTCTGATGTTCATTAAGTCGTGAGTTCACTGTATTTTTAATTTCCAAAAAGTGTTGCTCTAAGTGGCAAATAAAGAGATAACAACAATGGCTTGATAAAGCTCCTGGAGAGTGAAAAGTTGCCACAATAAAATGTCACATCAGTTGCACTTGCGTCCTTTTACCTAACAGATAAGAACAAGCAAAGCAGTATTTTCAGAATTTACAAGCCATGAATTTCTCTCTGGTTGTCACATGAAACACTCCTCTTGAAATTTTATCATACAGGTTCCCTCCCCTCCTCAAAAAAAAGGAGACAAAGAGATAAGGTTTATCATAGAACACAGCTGTACCCAACCTTACCCTTGTGCAGGTCTCGAGACAATTCTCTTAAAATGTTTCAGCCTCCTCTCAAAAGTGTTGCAGCTCAGACACCATTTCAGGTTAACAGGTGTTGTTGCGTTTTTTTGGATCTGAGAGATATGAGTCTGGATTTTTTGAAGGGAAAAAAGTATTTTGAAAAAGAAAAATGTTTTGAAAAATTTTAAAAAAAAAAGTAAGTTCCTTTGATTTTTAAATTATTGTTTGAGCACAGGGTGCGGAATCAATAAAATTTCTTCATTATCAATTTGCTATTATAGGGGCCAAATTTGCTGTAATTCCCAAAAATTATCAAAATAGTAATTAAAAAAATTCAAAGTAAAAAAAAATTCCCTTAAAAAAATTTATCAATAATTATTCAATTTTGTAGGTCAAATGTCACATTCCCGATTATATCACGAAAATGAGGGGGGCTCAAAACCCATAGGAGTCAAAAAAAAGCCCTGGGGAAAAAGGGTAATCGGGGAAGAGGGGGGGGACTCAAACCCCTTGGATGAAAAAGCCCTTCCCCCACTTAAAGGGAAATTTCCCGGAAGGTCATTTTAACAGTAATCATTGCATTTTCCCAAGTTTTTCCTGCTTAATTTTTGTTTTAAAAAAAATAAACAAATAATTTTTTAGACAGAAAAAACACGCCCTTATATCCCGGGACTAGAATTAAGCAATAAAACCAGGGAAAATCATGAAAACCCCACAAATTGAAAAAACAAATCACAGAATCTACCTATGGGGGAAAAGGTCGCTAAAATTTCTTGAATCAAAAACCCCCGCCCCCCTTAAAAAATTTAAAATGAACTTTGGTACCCCAGTAAAGAAACGTTTTTATTTATGGCTAAACCCAATCACGTCTCGATCTCTTCCAAACCAACCCCTTAAATCAAACTTTAAAATTCACTAAAAACGAAAATTTTAAAATAAAAAATAAATTCACCCAGAAAGATCAAATGGCAAAAAAACCGTCCGAGTATTTATAACTGGGCCCAGCTGGAGGTGTTTACGCATCATACCTCCGATTCTCCCAGAAGTAAAATGCGGAAGGAAAAAGGGACGAGTGTAAATAGGGTAGTAATTCCCAAATAACGGGCGGGCGGGAAAGAAAGCTGAAAACAACACCGGGACTTTGGGTTGCCCTCCCTCTGAGGCCAAGTTAACCTCACACTGGAGGGAATCTTCACATTTGGGTCAAATTGTAAAATAAAATTTAAAAAACCCACCAGGCAAAAAAAAACACAACCAAAAATTAAAAAAAACAAAACAGATTTAGCGTAATCGAAACACCTTTATTTTGGTATATTTCTTTGCAAAGTGTAAAAAAAAAATTACTTGTATGCAAAAAAACCCCTATATGTGGGTGCTAAGGGCTTGTAAAAATCCGGTAAGATATTTGGGGACTTAAAAATTGGGGGGTTTTTCGGGTTTATTTAAAATTACAAAAAAACCCCTATTTTTTTGTTATATATAATTTAAAAAGGGGAAAAAATGAGGGGAGGGTGGATCTGAATTTTGGGGGTTACACATGAAATTTTTAGGGGGTTTTAAAAAACTTTTTTTTTGGGCTGCATTTAAAAAAGGGGTTGGGGAAATATTTTGTTTGTGGGTTTGTCAGTGGCCTGCTTTCAGTGCTGCTAAGTTTTTGGTTTTTTAACTGTTTCTATAAAATACAAAAATTTTTGACAATGGTCCCCATGGCCGGGATTTACTTTTTTTGGGTTATCCCCGGGGACTTAAAATCCGGGTTTAAAAAACCGAGAAAATTATTTTTTAATGATCTATCACTTGATTGTTTTTTATTTATTTATTTATTTATTTATTTCCAATTTGTGCACACATACAGAGGTACAAAAAAATACAGATAAGAGCAGCATGCCAAAGCCACTTATACTATGCATAGCATTACGGGCTGGCTTAAAATTAACTTAAGATTAACTAGGCAATGATTATTATTATTATTATAATCAAAAAGAAGCGCTAAGCCACAAGGACTATACAGCGCTGCTACTAAGCAATGATGAAATCGGTGATAAAACATTAATGT